GTTGGGCTTTTCCTTCCTTTCATCCTCTGGGCCCATCCTTCTCTCTCATCCACTTTCCCCTGGCTGTCCTGAGCTCCCTCCCCTCGCCGCACATCTGAGTTCCTCTTATTGATTCTGCATATAATGAGCGATGCCATGATAGTTCCTCACCTGCATCACATGCCCCCCCAGGGCCCTTCAAGGAAGGTGCAGTGACCCTGGATAGGGTACAGTTGAGGATGGCTCAGAAAGTTTCCATCTCAGCTGGTTGTGTGAAACTGGAGAGATGGGTTCGATGGTTAAGAGCATGTACGGCTCTTCCAGAGGGCCTGAGTTCAGTTCCCAGCACCCATATTAGGCATCTCACGACTGTCTACACATCCAATTTCAGGGGATCCAATGCTACCTTCTGGCCTCTGTGGCCAGTACACTCACATGCACATAAACCCAAAGACACGCAAAGACATGTCAAAAATAAAAATCTTTTCATTTTTATGTAAAATTAAATCTTTTAGTAAAATAAAAATGTAAGATGAACTGGACATGCTGGAAGCCCAGCACTCAGGAGGCTTATGAAGGAAGAATGCCAGGAGTTCAAAGCCAGCTCAGACTACCTAGTAAGATTCAGAACAAGAAAAAAAAAGAAAAAGGTGTCAGGGGAGGGTAGTTTTCACCTGGATCTGAGGTCACCCAGCTGGTCGTCGGCTGTCTTCTTTTTTTGCCACCATGGTCTTTGCCCAGTTAGATTCTTCAAGCCTTCAGATGTTTGTGTTTTCAAATGGCTGGGCTGAGTTTACTGCTCAGTGATAGAGGATGTGTTTAGTGTGCATAATGTCCTAGGTTTAGTCTCCAGTACCTCAGGGCAGTAACGAATGTGTATATGTTATCCTCCTGGCTTGGCTGAGAACCTGCCAGGATTTTTCAGATGCAGTCCACTGTGTGAGCTCTGATGCCCAGGCTTTTCAGACTGGGACTGGTCCTGCCACTTGAAGTTTGCTTGACTCTGAGTGGATTACTTTGTCTCTATTCTATTCTTCCTATTCCATTGTATAATGCATGCACGTGATACAATGTAAGGTATAGAATCATTGAAAAAATTGCCTAAATTATATGAATCATTTAAAAGAGAATTTGTTATACACAATGAGTGTGAAGTCTATAGTATATTGGGAAACTTGTGTGTGTAATTAAATCTTTAACCATGTAGGCAATACATAGAGTCTACACACAAGATGGCTTTTCCCATGCTATATGTAAAATATATTTTCCTCATTTTCTATTTTACTTTAAAATGTATTTCCCCTTATTTGTGTTAACCTGTAAGTATTAGACAACGTGTGTGTATAATTATGATGAACTGGACATGGTGTCTCACACCTGGAAGCACAACAGTCAGGGGCTTATCCAGGAAGATTGCTAGTACTGCTGATTTATCTTCTGAAATCGTTAATTTTTTACTTTATTGTGCTTTATTGTAATGAAACAAACAACTGTCAACTTAGCTAACAAAATATTCAAACAAAACAAAACCCAGGCCCATGAAGGAATTGGGGCTCAAAAGATGTAGTCAAGGCCAAGAAGTTAGAAAGAAAGATAAAAACAAATGTAGTGTCAGTGCCCGTGGATTGCTGATGCCCCTCTGATTTCACGTGGGCAGGTAGGGTTCCCTGAACATGCAGCAAATGGAGGGGTCCATTCCATTGTTTCAGTACCTTTCGTGGCTTTGTTTCCTTCAGCTGAAAAACATCCCCTCCTAGAAGCAGCTCGGGTGTCCCAGAGAGTCATCTTTCTTTCCCTCATAGAAGGGTGGACTTATATGGCAAGTGTATGTAAGTGTTTATTTCACAAGAGGGCACAAATGTCCTCTTGTGATGGCCCTGTAGGCCAGGATTAAGGGAAATATGTTTAGAACAGCGTGGGTGAGAACTTTCATTTTCAAATATGTGTCACTATATTATGCAGCTGAATTTGTCCTCAGCCTAAGCAGCTAGTTGGTCGGGTCTACTAGTTCATAGTACGTCATTGTTAGATAAGATGTGTCACAGAACAGCCTTTATGTAATGTAACACAGCTGTCAGTCAAGATCAATAAATAGTCTTCAAGGCACAGAGGCTCACAGAGCTGCATGGGGTTTTTAATGAAGCCCCTCTCATGATTGACAGCATGCTTGTGTCCATCTCTCTGACCTCCTAGCTGCTGGCTGAGGACTCTGACTTTAGAGGCACTTTACTTCTGCAGGTGTTTCAGAGGCAGTGGAAAAAACCTGTCACCCAGATGGAGGGGATTTCCTTGGTAACATGCATGGAAGCTTCAAAGAATGCTTGGGGGAAGAGACACACACACACATCAGTAGTTTGGCCTCCTCTCTGGTACCTCTCCACCTTACAGCTACTCTTAAGAAACTCCCGAGAAATCCCAAGGGACAGTGCCCAGAACCTGGCAGCTTTCACTCACTCTTCCAGGCCCTTCTAAAGACTTCACAACTTCATTTTACAGCAGGGTCCTGATCCTCACCCTATTCTAGAACCTTTGAGAGTTATGGAGAGCCCAGATTCCCGGTCCCAGCATTCTTAATTTAGTCCAAATATTGGAAGCTGGTGCCACATATCACCACCTTTTAAATTACTAAGGAGATTTCAGTGTGTGGAACCACCTGCAAGTCTTTAAAGCTGGGTATACTGTATGAATTTTGCATTCTTCACCTATGAAGTTTCCTTTTTGTAAATATTTCATTTTTTTAAATTGTCTTGTCTCTGTTCTTTCAACAGCAGTTGGCTGGGCTGGGGGCAAGAGCGTTTTCCCTATGGTTGGTACCATCTCACAGGTGGTGAGCGGTAGGCAAGCTTGCAGAAGTAGACCTTCCCACCCTCTCAATGCAGGGCCTTGTCTTTAGATGTTCATTTCCTGGCCTCAGAAAATTCATTAATTCATACCATTTATTCTGACTTGTGGCTCTTGATGTGATTTTCCTTTGTTTTGTAAGTGTAGAGGTGTCCCCAATTTGATTAGCCAGTAAGCCATCACCAGTTGTCATAGAATGACACATTCAAAAGACAGCTGTAAGCTTTATTAGAGCAACTGTCTGCTTACTACACAATTTTCCCTAACATTCCGATACTAACACATAATCAACGTAGGAAGAACACCAAGAAATTACAGTAAGAATTTTATGACTATACCCCAAGTCCTTCAGGTTATACCATTACCTGATGTCATGGCTGAGGCGATAATGTACAAGGATCCAGACTGCAGATCCTAGGCCTGATAAGGGGAATCACTAGACCTCTGCCTTCACTCTGACACTAGAGCATGCACTTGTCTCACTGACATCTCTTTCGTTTTCCAATTACCTGAGAAGTGTTAGTCAGATTTCTGTCAATGAGAAAAAAATTCCTCAGATAAGGCATCAACTATAATACACACACACACACACACACACACACACACACACACACACACACACACACACACATTGGCTCACAGAACTAGAGGTTTCAATCCATGGTCCTTGGCCATGTTGCTTTGGGTCTGTGGTGACACAGTACACCATGGAAGTAACAAATCCTGGATAAGTCTGCTCATAGCACAACCAGGAAGCAGAGACCTCCTCTCAGTAGCCTCCTAAGAACCTCCTAAGAGCACTCCCCCAGCAACCTAACTCCCCCTCTATGGGCCCTATCTCCCAAAGCCGTCTAATGGTACACCACGCTGAAAATCAATCTGTCACTACAAGGGCCTTTGGATGATGTTTAAGATACAGTCCATAACAAGAAGCAACCTTCCTTAAGCTCCACCTTGCAAAATGTCTCCAAAGATAAATCATTCCCAGGGAAGGTTTTGTTTGGTGCATTGGATATGTAGAAAGGGCAAAGGCAGGACATCCACAGAAAAGGCATTCTCCTTCAGTAGACATTTGGCTGTATTTAGTAGCCCCGTATTTAGTCTTAGTGTAAATTTTGAGTAAGAAATAAGCTTGGGATGTCATATTCTCAAAGAAAGTCCCCAGAGAAGGGAGGCACAAACCACATAGCTTAAAAGTTGCAACTCCTATGTGTTTGTGATGGTGGCTGTAATTTGTCTGCTATGAGGCGGCGGCAGGCTGTGACAGTGGTACTGATGGGCATCAGCTCTGGACTTGGTGACCTGCCATGTGCCAATGCTCTTTGGTGTCCTTTAAATCTTACTTCTTTTTTCTTGTGCTCATGGTAGCTAAGGCAGCATGTTATAAGCAACCTCCAGGCTTGAGCCTCATGTGGGGCCCTCTCCTTCCTCCCAGGAAGCCATCTGGGTAAACCATTTTGAATGTCATCGAGGCAAGCATATTAGTGATTTTTCATGTTTTCCTGAATGACTGAGTTAAATCATCCTAGGTTGTTGGTTGACTGCCTCTGCCTGAGAGATGTTCTCTGTACACACTACAGAGCCTTCCCCAGTGTTTGACTTTTCTCACTCTGTCTGTGGCAGGGAAAGAGAGGCGGAAACAGACCAATGGGTGGTCTAAAAGAAACAAGTCAGTGGGGAGCTACTGTGTGGGTTTACATGGACGGTCAATGCAGAGTTTCAGAAAAGTGTCTGAAATCAAGGATATGAAATACTATGGTGACAAGAAATACATCAGACCAAAAACACCATGAGTGTTAGCACATGGATATGTCTTCATTAATACCAGAGTTTGCAGTACAAAGTCATGTGTGGCATAGATCCACTGTTTTGTCAAAACTTACATCTTCCTTCAGTATGCAACTGAGGTCAGTGGTAAGCCTGGACACACACACTTAAAATAATAGTGAAAACACACTTGAAGGGTAAGTATTTTAGTGTCAGAGTTGAAATGTTGCCTGTCTGTCTATGCATGCATACCTGTGCCTCCTCTCCTGGTTATACACCCAAGCTTATGAAGGAAAAACAACTGGACTGAATCTTCCTTCCTATTTTTTATATTTGGGTCTAGTGACTATGACTATTTCACAAATCATTATTTTCATCTCCTCTCATGCCCTTCTTCTCACTCTTGACTTCAGTGCGGCGAATATTCCAGGATACACCGGCAAGGTTCATTTCACAGCCACCCACCCAACAAATTCTAATATTCCATCAACAACCCCATCACCAGATTCAGAGATGAGTCGGTAAGTAGGAATCCTATTACTCAGTTTGCTCACATGCATTAGAAAGAGAAATGATAATTATGGTTATTCCATTAAAGAACAATTAAATACTAAGAGAAAATTTGCAATGCTTAAGAAAAATGGATTGTCAAGCCAAAAAAAAGAAAGCAGTTCATTTTCTTACTGAGGGGAACTTTACTCAGAATTGTCTTGGAAAAAAATGCAGGTTAACGGTCCTGTTGACAATGCTAATGGTGGTAGTCCCTTAAGGCTCTTATTTCGAGCATATTATAAGAAAGCATCTTCACCTCTGAGACCGCCCCCCAGTTGTGCACACACATCATCATTAATCTGCTGTTATCAAAGCTACATGCTACCTAGTGTGTGCAACAAGAGCCATGCATTTGCTTCTTGTGAATGTCTTTTTATGAAGAAAAAAAAAATCTGTTGAAACTCACACGTATTTGAATGCCCGTTTTTGCAAGTTGAAACAGAAGGCAGTGGGTGGAAAGATGGAGGAATGCTTCATTGGCAATAGGTGATGAGAGGCAGCACACTATTCTCATCATACCTCAAATGTGAAAGCACTTGGGAGAAGTCCCGGCCTTGAACAAAAAGGACTATGGAGTTCTGGAAATGCAGGTGCTGCCTGAGGCTAAGGCTAGTCCGTGCAAGTGAACAAGCTATGATGGAGAGCCCTCCCCTAAGGGTACCTTTTTCTCTAGATCACTTTCTTTCAGTAGGTGAATATTCCATTTATCACATGTTTATCTCAGCTTGGGTCAGGCACTGAATGTGCATGGCCCCACACTTAAATCCAAATCCAGAATTGTGAAACAGACACTAAAGCACACAGGAAGGCTGGTCACGGTGGCACATGCCTTTAATCCAGCACTCATTTGGAAGGCGGAGACAGGCATATCTCTATGAGTTCAAGGACAGCTTGGTCTCCACAGAAAGTTCCAGGTCAGCCAGGGCTAGATCCTGAGATCCTGTCTCAAAACAAACAAACAAACAACAAAAAACTACAAGTAACTGAAGAAATAGAAGAATTTGGGTGTCCTGAAGCAGGCTAATATCATAGGGATGTCATTATGTCATAATCTCATAATGCTGGAATCTGGAGTCTGTGCTCTGTGGCTCGGAAGGGCTTTCTGAGGACTGAGACTAGGACTTGACCATTAAGTAGAGCTCCTCTTTCCAAGGACTGAAATATTCTGGAAAGCAGCAGCTGTAAATGGGAACAGCATCCAAGAAGAGGGTCACCCAGCTGTTCATTTTGCTATTCACTCATCCATTTTTGTTTAACTCTCACGTTCTCTGATTGTATCATCACACACTGACGGTGTCCCAGCAATTCATAGGAGCACAGCTTACTCACAAGGAGAAAGCAAGAAAGTGACCAAGACAGACACTGCAGCAAAGGATGGTAGCCAGAATAAACGGGACAGTCGCCCTAGATAATCAGTTGCTGTTACTTTCTGGGTACCCAACTAGGAAGGGGCTCTTACCAACTGCATTTCACACATGAGGAAACTGGGGCACGCACTTACAAGCTGCAAGGGCTTGTTGGGGTGCTGAAGATCTCTCAGTGGAATCGCCTCCAGGAGTGACTCTTGGACGGAAAGGACTTACTTGGTGTCAGATATTTGAGGGTCAGGTGACAGCAGCCCCACAAAGGGTAGAGAGACTCTCAGGAGTGTGGAAAGGGCCACGTCAAGCCCTCTGTGTCCTCCACATCCCACAAGGCCTCTTCTGTAAGTGCGACATTAAAGGAGAGGAAAGGTACCAATTGACAGTGGGCTTTCTCAGCGTATCTAAATTTCTGGTTTGACAACCCTGTTGAATATCCAGCCATCTAGTGCTGAACATCTCAATAGGAGGTCAGTGCTTTTCGGGCTAATAATTAGAATTCAGTTTCATTTACTTCCAAGACATTTTTTCCAATCTTAATATTTATAAGTATAATTTAAAAAATAAAATTTACTGTGTGTATCTAAAGGAATATGGTGTTATAGAATACATATATAGATAATGAAATGGTTATATAGTCAAACAAATGAACATATCCATCATCTCTCAGTTTTTCAAGAACAACAAAAATCTACTCATAAATAAAATTTCTGAATGCAGTACACTGCTATTACCCATAGTCCTCATGTTGTGTTAGATCTCTAGACTTGTTCTTTTCTATTGCTGGGGCTTATCCTCTGACCTACATCCCTCCATTTCCTCCTGCTAATCATCCATCCTTTCTAACCACTGCTTTCTGCCTTTGTATATTTAGTTTTTTAAATATAAATTCACATGAAATGCGATCATACAAGATTTTTTTCTATTTCTAGATGGTTCACTTAATGCGCTCTAGGTTTGCCCATGTTATAGCAAACATCAGAATCTCCTTTTTATATTATTCAGCCTCTTTTGTAAGACTGAAGAATAATCCGGGAGGGGGGATTTTGATATGTGTATTTATGTCATAATTTATTCATCCATCAATAGGCACTTGGATTATCCATATCTTGGCTGTTAGGGACAGCAATGAACATGTGGTATAGGTGTCTCTTTGAAGCAGTTCTCATGTCCTTGGATGTGTATGTACCTGAAATGGGGTTGCTGGATCATCTCTGAACTCCATTTCTTATGTGCCCAGGGCCTCCCATGCTGATTTACTTATTGATGCACCAATCTACATTCCCTCCCACATTGTGAAGGACTCCCTCTGCTCCAGTCTCTCCAGTGTTCCCTGTCTTTTCTCCTTTTGATAAGAATCATCCTACTGAGTGTGAGACAGTATCTCATTGAGTTTTTTTTTTTTTAACATTCTCAGGTCCTTAGCGATTTGGAACATTTTCACATGCTTTTTTTCCTCACAGTTTCATGTCTTTTTTGAAGAATATCTATGCACGTCCTGTACTCATTGGGGGCTTTTGTGGTTGAGTTGCATGAGTGTTTTGTATATCTTTAGCTGTTAACCCTTATAAGACACATAGGTCACAAGTATTTTTCCCAGTCCTCAGGTTGTCTTCTCATCTTATTGTTTCCTTGTTCTGCAGTGGCTTTAATTTGCTACGTCCCCATCTATTTTTTGACTTGTAGCCTCAGCTTTTGGTGTGATATCCAAAATATCATTGCCAAGGTCAATGTCAAGACACATTTCAAATGTTACAAATCCATTTCTGAAAGCAAGGTTGGTAGGCACTGGAACAATTGCAATTTTGTTGCATATGAAAACATAAAGAAACAATGCCAACCATTAAATATATCCTTGTACCAGTCAGGATACAAAGAGTAAAGGTAAAACATTCTGACTGAGGCTGGTTCATAATTTAGACTTCCATTAGAGCAAACACAGACGTTTCTCACCTCTCTCCATTTCCTCTGCAGTCCTCCTTAAACCCCAGTTGTGTGAGGCTTTGCCCAGACATCCTGTTGCTGTAACACCTTCCCACACATCCGCACTGCTACATAAGCAGACAATCCAAGAGGGGTCAGAAGGCTCCTTTTTGTCTTTCAGATAAACCTCTACTTCTAAGCTAAAAGGTATCCCTTTGTTTTGCAACCAGAGAGAAAAACTCAACTCTTTCATAGGGATGTTCCTGTCCCATCAGGCTCCTGACTGCTTCCACGGTTTTCTCCAACACACACATGGATGTCATTTATTACTCCAGAGTGAGGACATGGAGTCCTGTTCGGTGGCTTGTCTAAGGCTCTTAATCTGAGAGTGAAGAACAGACAGAAATAGGGACAACCACCAGAGTGTTTCCCTCAGCTCAACTTGTGTTGACTCCACTCTGCCCAGCCTACAGCACACAGTCAGCCCACACAGAACCCTCTAGCCTTAGAAAGCACAGTCCAGAGGGAAAGGAAGAGTGTGAATTTAGACTATGTCTGCACTGACATAAAGATGAGGCTTCTAGCAGGAAGGCAAGCAACCAAAGCTCTTCTCCATGAAGTCCCCATCTCTGACATTGCTGACACTTTTGTAGCACTATTTAAGTGCTTTTCTGAAAATTTCCAGGGAAAGTGTAAGGCCATGTATCTGCCTACTGCATATGGCAAGGACTCCACAAGCGTGAGCGGCTTCCCTTCTGGTAGTATCTATGTGGTCTAATGCATGTTTCCTGTTGTGTTTTGTTCTGGCCATCTCATTATCTGGGAACTCCGGTATGTTGGCTCTGCTGTATGATTTCTGTGCTTTTGTAACCTGCTCCTCTCTTTTTAGATGCCTACATATGTCTGGTGTGGCTGTTACCAAGCCTTTCGTAATCTTCTAGTCCTTTCCCCATGCTCCTGAAGAGACCGGGGCTATCCCAAGTGGCTGCCTCATTTCCTCTGCTACCCCACCGTCCTCCCCAGAAGCCCATCACTGAGTCTTTCTCTTCCTCTTAAGAAAATGTGCACTCACTTGTGAAAGGCTCACCCTTCCCTCTCAACTCTGAAACCTCTCCATTTCTGCTCACTTCTTAGCATCTGGCTCCTCTCTGCTGACTGGTCAGATGCTTAGGAAAAATCCATTTGGGGGACCTACTGCGTCCCTCCAAACTGCCATCCTCTTTTTCTCCTCTCCTTCTTTTGACTTCTGAACTTCTGGAGGAAGCAAACAAAACTGCTCTTAGCACCCTACTTCCACTTTCTCCCAGGCTGTTCCCTAATCTTATACCATCTGGATTCTGGTAGCACCAGCAGAGTGAAGGGCTCCTGCCAGGTTGAGGACTAGGCAGGGACAGGAGAAGGGACTGTTGATGTCTCTCCACACTGAGGATAGGGGTGGTGCATTTGCCAGGAAACTTTGTGTTAGATAAAACTTCAGGGCCAAAGTGAGCCTTTTAGTTGCTTAGACTTTGGAGGATACATGAAAAGGAGTCTCCATTCTGAATCTCAAGACAGGTGTAGTGAACTCCAAGTGCCTTCTGACTCATCCTGCGGGCAGGATGCAGAATACGTAGGAAAGAAACAAGGGCAAGAGATGCACAAGGAGTAGATGAGGACATGCTTGAGGTAGATAAGAAGGAATACGTTTGCAAACACGCCTCTCAGCAACTCTTATTTCTGTTAGAGTCTGGTGGTCTCTGTATGGTCCTTACTCTAGGATGTGGCCTGCACAGAAGCTGTGCCATTTTCTACAACACGTTTTTTAAAAAGGTGCATACATACAATATCATGTTAATTGCAGCCCAAATATTAAACTACTTCAGATTGCATGGCTGCATGGGGGTTACCTTTCCACAGTGGCTCTCTAACTTTTTGCTTCACACAAGCATTGCAGTGTGTGTATATGACCAACCTCATGGCCCATTCACAGTGGAGGTCTACATACAGAAGATTCTTGGGTTTGTTCGTAATAATTGGTATGATGCACACAACCCTGCTCTGGGGTAGTAACACAAGGGATAAAACCTTATCTTCACAGCAGTCCACATTTTCAGTTTTCTTTCCATTAATTCTTAGGAAAAGTTTGGTAGGGTGGATTTATTCCTACTATGCAGACCAGCAAACCAAGGCAGAGTGGGGTTATAGCTGAGCAAGCAGACGGCTTCAATCCAGGGTAGACACAGAAAGGCAGACTCCACACCTGCTCCTTAGTTCAGTGGCTGTCCAGCCTATGTGTGTCTCTCACTCCCCAGCCTCTCCCCAGCCTCAGGTGCCTGCCTTCCCATGTGTTCTCCACCCACCTTCCTCTGCCACCTCCTCCAAGGGGACTCCATCCAAATGCCCCTCTCCCTCCCGAGGTGGACCTATCTCCTGGGTCCTTCTATCATGGACTTCCAAAGCAGTTTTTAGGTCGGTTTATGTCCACCTCATTTCTAAGCATTTGCTATAAATCTAGGATACACTCTCAGAAGCAGAACACAGTGCAACGCACTCGATACAGTAAACCAAGCAGGGGTGGTCGTTCCCAGCCTCTCCTATGCTACTCTCTACCCTTTCCCTTACTGGCTCCTCTATCCTTCCACTTCTGTGGATTGTTAGTTGGATAAAAGATGAAATATTTGTTTTCATGTTAATGAATTATGTCATTTTTTTCCCTCCTTGTCCCCATTCTGATCCTAGCATTTTACGACAACAAATGGAAATTGACTGCTTCCGTCACCAGGCCCCAATGTCTCGAATGGTCACAACTGTGAAGCCTTACAACCCCTTCAGGATTGGGAAAAAAACCCTTGAGTACTGAAGGAGACCACACCCCTGAGAGACTTCTGAGCCCCAGCTGGGGGGAAGGCTTTGTGCACAGTGATGGAGAAACAAGAGAACACAGAATGGTGTAACCTCTAACCGTGTCTGTCTGAATGAATTGGGGTACCAGACAGGCAGCATGTCCAGGCCTGAGCTCAGGCACTCTCTTCCCCCTGGTGGCGGTGACTCAGTCTGCTGTAAACCAGGACTGGCAGTTGGGACACAGAGAACCCCCACAGAGAACTCCTCTTCAGTGTTGGAATACTGGGCCCTCCCTAGAGGGTCATGAGTTTGAGGATTAGAGATGATCCTCACATTTAAAAATTGAGCAGTGACAACAGACAATGGCATTCTTTTTGTCACCTAGGGGACAATACAACATGGGCGTTGGGAGGGGGGGAGGGGGTCACCATCTAGAGACAAATAGGCAAAACACTCTCTTTCCTACTCTAGGATTTCTGCTCTGGAGAAGGAAGCATTCCCGGGCTCACTGGGAGTCCTCAGGCAGGCACGGCCTACCATACACATCTTCAGATTAGTGTGGCCTGACCGTGCTTACCCATGGAGAACAGGAGCAGCAGACTTGCCCCAGAGTCTCCCCAGTACAGTTCTATTCATAGGTTCAGGAAGCATGCTAGTTTGTATACATCTGTGCAGGCCTGTAAGAGTTATTAAAGTACTTTCCCAACCCTCGCTCATTTGATCTTGCCACCCCATAACACATTCTTGCAGCAAACGTTACACACATAGCTTGCTGTTTTATACATAAAACACAGAAAAGCTAAGAGTAAGGTGCTTATCTGGAACTCAGATTATCTGGCTTTAGATAACTTTCCTTAACTCTGACCCATTTCTATGCAGATTGGGTAACTTTCCATGAATTGTTTACAAACAAAAACACCTAGAAAAAGAGGGAAAACTCCAGTTGCTTCTAGTTTTCTGAAGTGCTTCCCAGGGGTTCTGTATGGCGTCTTACTCTCCTTCAAAACCCAGAAGAGGGGAATTGACCCCAGAACTCCAAATAAATGTGGAGACCAGGCTGGCCTCGAACTCACAGAGATCCACCTGGCTCTGCCTCCCGAGTGCTGGGATTAAAGGCGTGCGCCACCACCGCCCGGCTTTAGTTTCCTTTTTTATTGCTGTGATTAAAACACTATGACCAAAAGCAACTTGGGCTTGTTTCATCTTATATTTTCCAGTCCATCATGAGGAACGTCAGGGCAGGAACTTAAGGCAGGAACTAAAACAGAGTCCACGGGGGAATGCTGCTTACAGGCTTGCTCCTCCTGGCTTTCTCAAGTTTGCTTTCTTGTAGACCTCAGGACAACATGCCAGAGATGGCACCACCCACAGTGGGCTGAGCCCTTCAATGTCAAACATCAATGAGAAAATCTTCACAGGCTTGCCCCTGGGCTCATCTGATGGAGTCAATTCTTCAGCTGAAGCCGCCTATTCCACGATGACTCCAGCTCGGATCAAGTGACAAACTAACCGTCACCAGGCCTGACACATCTCCTGATGCACCAAGGTGTGAGCAAGGAGCCTTGTCCTCTCCCCTCCCCACGCTCCTGCCGTGATGGACCGCATCCCCCAAAAAGCAAAACAATCCTTTCTTCTTTAAGTTGCTTCTTAGGTATTTCATCACAACAATGAGAAAAGTGACTCTCGGGAACAACATCAGACCGAAATAAAAACCTTCAGTTCTGGAAGATTCTTAGTGGAGTGGAATTAGCTCATCCAGCAAGTAGATGGATGTGATACCTGAGGTTCAGTTTTCAGCAAATATTTCAGTTGAGTGTTACTGCTCAACCCTGAGGCACCTGCTCATCCTTCTGGGCCTTTTGGTAGCAGGACACAGTTACAGCTATTGTGACTTTTGTTTTGTTTTGTTTTTTGATTTACTTACTATTTATTTATTTGTGTTTGTTGTGGTGATATATTGTGTATCCCAAAAAAAGCTTGTCTGAGGGTCAGAGGACAGAGCCTGCCACTAGATTAGACATAGAGGTCAGACAGTGGTGGCACACACCCTTAATCCTGTACTTGGGAGGCAGAGATCCGTCTGAATCTTGAGCACTGGTCATTAATATCCATCAATATCAATGGTCTCAACTCACCTATTGTGATGTTTTGTAGTCTGAAACACTCCCATTCTCTACAATGCAGCTATTAGAGCACTCATCAGAGCTCTTGTGCTCTTTCAAAGCTGGCTCTGTTTTGCAGCATTCCCGTGGCCTTACTTAGAAGAGACACGCTGACACTCTATTAGGTGTATAACCCAACAAGGCTTCTCATCTGTGAAGACACAAGGTGAATCCTGCTCACCACAGACCTAAAATTCAGGCCAGGAATAATCACAGAGAACAGAGCCATAACAGTGTTCCTGGGCTGGGAACATGAGCTATAGTAATGTCTGTGTTGTTAGCAGTCTGGTCAAAGATGAATGTCACAGGCATATGCATGCATCTGCTCTTCAAATTCTGCAGCCTAGATTGGATTATACAGATTACATCAGGGTCTAGCACATAGGCACATTTTCCTTTCATTCAGTGCCCCATACAATGTCACTCAAATTTTATATCTGTGAGACATATAAAAGAGAACAACATATAGAAAAGAACCTCTATTTTTTTTTTTTTTTTTGGTTTTTTTAGAGACAGGGTTTCCCTGTGTAGCTTTGCGCCTTTCCTGGAACTCACTTGGTAGCCCAGGCTGGCCTCACAGAGATCCGCCTGGCTCTGCCTCCCAGTGCTGGGATTAAAGGTGTGCGCCACCACCGCCCGGCTGAACCTCTGCTATTTAATTCACAGTTATAAACTGTGGCATGCATGTCCAGTGTGGAAGTACACCCCTACAATTCCACCTACTCCAGAGGCTAAGGCAGGAGGATTTCTAGTTCACGGCTAGCCTGGACAATTTAGCTTATCTCAAAATGTTTTGTTTTTAGCGGCCCAGAAATATCAGCTCAGTGGTAGAGCACATGTCTAACTGCCCAGCTTATTCAAGGCCCTGATTCACCTGGGATAAAAAAAAATGCATGTTAATATTACTCCAGCCAGTTATGGAAGTTCACAATATGAAAAAGGTGAGCCTCATAACGTCAGAAATGGACAAATGAAATCATTGTATACTCATGGGTGCAATATAAATTTTGTTTAACATATATTATGACAAATATGTAGAAACAGAAAGACAGTAGGTTTTCCTGTAGGGTAATTGGCTAGGTTTACAGTACCAGACATGAATTCCTTCCTTTTGCACAGTCTTTAAGTCCAGTTAGAAGGCTACTGGTTGTCCCTAATAGGTGTCATTACTGCATTCTTGGGGTCATCTTTTCATGCTGGTCATTGTTGAGAGCCATAGGCTTTATGGATGAGTAGACTATTGGTTGCTTTTGTTCTAGTGGTGATGTAGCCCCCATGGCTCAGATGGGAGACTGTTAGACTGAAGAACTGAGTAACAGGAAAGCATTGGTCCTTCCTGAAGAATTGGTTTTGAGAGGTAGTGCTAGGCAGAGAGAAGAGGGCTAAAAGGGACCATTTGCAGCCAGCTGCTTCTCAGGCACCATTTGGGACACATGCTTATCAAGGCCACCTTCCTCTGGTAAAAATGACATTTACATCATTGATATCCTTTTCACCCCTGACAGCAGGTGCCTCCCATATCTGGAGACTTCTCTGAGACATATGATTACCAGTGCAGTGGCATCTCCTGACACAAACTCCATGGTCCCTTAGTCAGTAATCCACTTGACAAATGGCTTTGGCAATAACTGATAATACCCTTTGGTGGAGACAGAAGGGGTATCTCTTGCTCAGAGGAGGAGACAAGAAGAAAAGTGAGGAGACAAGGAGAAAAGTCCTGCTTTACATTCTCAAGACACACCTAAAAACATCTTTAAAAGACTTGAGGAATGACTGTCCCCTTAATGAGATGTATAATTATATGGCCCCCAAAGGCCCTCCCTATATGCAATTGTTTACACAACCTCACTGCTAAGCTCACCCACTTTCTGAGTTCTAACTTAGGAAGCATTTTTTTCTTTTCTTCATTTAATCTCTATTTATTTAGACTTTGGCCAGAATCCGAAGACGCCTCACCCTGACACTCCTCTCTCTCTCTCTCTCTCTCTCTCTCTCTCTCTCTCTCTCTCTCTCTCTCTCTCTCTCTCTCTCTCTCTCTCCTCTTTCCTCTCTCTCCTCTCTGTTTCCTCTCTCTCTCTCCCCCTCTCTTCATGCATGCATGTGCTGTGTGTGGGGGTGTGGGGGTGGGTCCACCTACCCCGACACAATGGCTAGCAAAATTCCATTGCTGGGCCTGTCTGCTTACTCCATCTCTTGACTGAAAAAAAAATTAGCTTTTTCTCTTTTTCCATCTTTCATATACCATGAGCTACCAAGTTCTGCAAGTTGCCTGCCTTGTTGTTTCCTCTGAAGCTTCAATAAAATTGTCCTTGTTTCCTTTAAAGTCCTTTTTAAAATTCGTTGAGATACAGGCTTAACAATCTTTAAAAGAGACCCTGTATCATCAAATGAAAGTATCTGAGTCTAAGACTCTGATAAGTTATCCATCTAAATCTTTTATGAACTGAGGCAGGGGGAGCTTATAGTATAGAAATAAGTACAATAATATAGAGTAAAATACTTGTTTTCCTCTGCCTGCCAGGGAAGCTCGGAGTTGATTAAATAATCATGTTAGCGTAGAGACTCAGACAAATGAAAGATGGGTTTCACATTTAAAACTGCTATTTTAAGAAACCCTTTGAATCATCCTGGTGCACACACCCAAATTCTAGTGGTTTGTCAACTGGCTTCCCCACCCACTCTGACTTTTTACATATGTCTAGGTTCTTCTGTGTCTACTTCAAGGTCCTTATGGTCTCAGGAGGCTTCTTAGATGATTGAAAATACACCCATCACACTAAAAACAAACAAACCTTTCATTTATTTCCCAGAAGTGTCTAACGTGCAGTGGGGCAGGGATGCTGAGCTCAGATCTCTTCTACTCCCTGCTCGCATTGTCTTGGTGGCCAGAAAAGACAGTTCCCTGGGAGTCAGAACAAACCAACAATCCAGAATTATTTCAGAAGACATTGAAAATACCCTAAAATAGATCCACTTGTTCCACTTAGTCCAGGGTAGGCTGGATGGCTTTTCTGTATCTCTAAGACTTACTGTATTCACAACTGTAGTTAGTACAACTGTAGACTAATAACCATCAAAGGCACAGAGGAAAACTCAAAGCTGAAGAGCTACCATTAAATATGGAACAGGTTTGTTTGTCTGTAAAACATTTTGAGGATTGGTATAAAAATGTTATCATGAAACCCATTATTATGTATAAATAATATATGCTAATAAGAAGATTAATTTGAAAAACAGCATGTTTTCATCTCTGCTCTTATCATCCCGGGGCATTCAGCTCTGTATTGTGGCTTCCATAATCAGCCTGAACAAGCCTGAGGTTTGCCTCCCACTCTCCAGCTGAGCTACTTCAGTCACCTAATAAAAATGTATAAAGTACACCATAAATATAAACACGCTGCTGGCATTCATATTCAAACTTCGAGGCACAATGATGGGGAAATTCCTAAGGGGGTCAATAAGCAACGAGGAGCAATGTACAAAGAGTCATTAAACCAACCCTAGTTATGACAAGGAGCCTCAATGAGCATGAGCCCACCCTAGCCTCAGCTCAGACAAGCAGCACATTACATCTCCAGCAATTTTCTTTTAACTGCGATGCATTTTTAAAGTTGAAATAATGTCATTTTCTAAGGTAGGTGTGCTACTCATGCACATATGTTTTAGACAGCGAGACAGATACTAGTGGGCTTGTGGATGGACCCCCTCCCTCGTGACTGACTTTGGATCCCACCTCTTGTTTCCCTGATGGCACTAGAAATGAAAACACCACAACTGTCACCTTAATACTGAAACAGCCATATGAAAATGCAGACACTTTGGGGCTTTGTTAAGGCCCATGAATGAAAAGCTACTTCCTCCTGGCCAAAAGGATGGAGTTTCAACTCTACCACTGGCCCTGGATGAAGAGAAGACATTCCCTCTTTCTCAAAGATCAAAACACTACATTCAGGCCAGCAAGATGGCTCAGCAGGTAAAGGGCGCTTGCCACTAAGCCTCACGTCCTGAGTTCAACCCTAGGACCCACATGGGAGAAAGAGAGAACCAACCCACAAGTTGTGCAGCAATGGTAGAAGTGCTCCCCCATCACACACACACACACACACACACACACACACACACACACACACACACAAAAAAAATTACATGGATTATTCTGGAACTGGGAGAGCCACTGCTGATTCTCAGGGACTGGGAATCTAGAGGGATCCAGAAAGTATTTTGATAATCCTGCAGGAAAATGCAAATATTCTCAGCCAGTTACCATCATTTTCAAACGTGGTTGTTTTAGTTTGGGGACATCATGAATCCTTTCTTATATGATCTACCCAAATGGTATTCGGAGACAACACTGTGGTTTTAATTAATGCCCATTTTTTTTAATTTGCTTGTTTCCTTCTTTCATTGTGGCTGATTTTGAATATACTCTCAATTGCTGTTAAAATGTTTCCCGCTCCATCCCCTGTAAAGGACATTTCCTCACTCGTGTTGAAGATTGGCCTGGAGAGTCCCAGTAGTCCGCTATCTAAACTGCTATTGTGGTTACAGGTGGGGGTGGGGCTGGCTTCTTCCTGCCAGCCACCCCCCCCCCACCCCCCCCACCCCCCCGCAATGTTACAGGCTACTCTGTGTGGGTTTCCAGGGCAAGCTCTGCTGATTCTAGCTTGTAAGCTGTAATGGAAACTGCTTTACTTTGTCACATTTACACTTTGGAAATAAAGCCCTAACACGTGTTTGGTGTAAATCTATTTTTCCAGTGCTGGGAGACCGTTTCATTGTGTTGTCTGCGGGCAGAGCCACAGATAAAAGATAAAGCCAGACTCAGTGAGCACCCTGTGGGACAAGCAGGAAGAGGTATCTGAGCAGAGAAGGGAAGGGAAGGGCCCCAGGCACAAGGTACTATGGGGTTAGGGTGTGCAGGCCTGGAGTGAAGTCTGGGCAAGTCAACCTCACAAAATGCCAGATCAAGGCTGCAGACTTTGGTGGGACTGGTAACCCTCAGTGGTTACTTGCCCATGCAAAGTGTAGCTATAGGTTCTCTTGAGTGGTTGCTAAGCTTCAGGGCACCACTAGGACTAGTGGGAAGACCATTGAGCAAAGCAGAAACCAAACAGAGACTCTGTCAGATAGATGAAGGGAGAAAGAGGCATTGGTGATGTGTCTGAACAGTGTGTTGTCTGTTCCCTGCTAGAAAGGATGGTCACAGGTCAGCAATTCCAAAACAAAGCCAGTGTTCTAGGTAAATGCTACTGTCTCTTAGTATCTCTTGGGGGAACTTGTTCCAGGACCCTGTGGATAGCAGAATCTACATACTCAAGAGGCTTAGATAACATGTCATAATGTACATGTAACCTATCCACACCTTTCCGTATACTCTATGAACCCTAGACTACTTATTATACCTGATACAATCAAATGTTGTTATGCAAGTGGTTGTTATGTTATGCATTACTGGGGAATAATGACAAGGGAAAAGGTAGGTATATATTAGGTATAGACAGAATCATAACGCCTTCCCTAAATATTTTCAATACACCATAGATTGAATCCATGCATGCAGAACAGGCAGATTTGGAGGGCCAACGATGTTTCTGACACTTGTGGTTTTGTGCTATGCTGTTAACATTCAATTATAGATGAGGACAAATGTAACCAAAGGCTTCCCTGGGAGGATCGCTGAAAAACTGTTTACAAGGTTGATGTCCTGAGAGTCCTCCCATGAGATGTTTCTAAGACAAGTGTGAACATTCACATGTTCTTCTTTCAAGATCTAAAGACTAATTAAACAAACAAGTTACCACAGGTTTCACAATGCTATCAGAAGGGCCGCTGTCTGGGAAAATCCCACACACAGAGTGTGAGGCCTCCATTCCAGCTGAGGCCATAGAGAGAAGCTCAGCTTCAGGGCATGATGCTTGTCCACTAGTGTGCTCCTCTCAGCCATGCAGGCAGGGGTGGAAGACAGCACCTCATCTCTGTACCCCTCGGTCATCCAGGACCTCCAGGGTTCAGAGTTTCAGAACCCTGTTCAGCTGTCTGAAACAAGTTGGGTTCCATGAAGTTTGGGTCAATAGTGGTCAAAATGGAGAGCAGAAAAGCAAGAGGAAGTACAGAGACCTTGTATCTGTGTCTGATACAGCCCCTGTGTCTTCTATGCAGGTAGTTCTCTTACCTTCTTCCTTGATTTGCAAGCACTGATTAATTATTTTAATTAATTAATCAATTTAATTAATTATTTAAAATTCTGCAACTGTAAGTAGATTAGTTTAAATTCTCTAAAAATGTGAAGGAATTATGTAAGCTATGAAAGTTTGGAAAGCAGACTGTTATATCATATCAAAAGATGTGTCTGATTGCACTTCTGAAAAGTGCTGGTGTGTGTGTGTTTACATGTGTGTGCATGTGTGTACATTTCTCATTGTCCTTGGACTTTCAGAAGTTCCCTTGACTATGTTTATCTTGGAAAAATAACTTATCTTCCCCAATTTGCTCATCAAACTCGGGTCAGAAACATACCTTTTAGGTCATTGGTTTCCTTGGTTTGCTATTTAAAAGGATATGTCTCAACTGCCTTCTAGTAAAGGTCACAGAAATATTAATATGCTTCTAAAACAAAAGGACCAAAAGACTCAGCTTTCAGTGTAAGTCAAAGTGTGGTGATGCAAATTGCAGAAAATCAGTGGCCTGTATCTCCAAGAATTATTTAATAATGAATTTATCAGTAGAAAAATAAAAGGACCTCCCTCAAGTAACTCATACACAAAACAGCTAAGACAAGCATTGAGAGAGACAGAGCTGCTGGGATTAGAAGCAGAAGCTCCAAGAAGAACTGTCCCCAAAGGGACAGGTGTGTTGTGTTGAAAAGGTGTGGACCCACCCAAAGTGTGGTAACTTCAGCCAAGAAGCATATAGAGACTGTGTGTGGAGAGGACCCAGCTCCGAGGGTGTACCTACATAGGATATCGCAGACCCTAGTCAGTACGTGCCCATCTTTTTATCCCTTGAAACCCAAA